CCACGGTCATTGGTTCTAGCCTACTGGCTACTCCTCAGGAGAAAAGTGAGGCTTTCTGCTTCCCTACAAGATTTCCAGCCTTGGCAATTCTATAGTAGGTTGCTATGTGTCAAAGTGGACCCCATTGCACTTAACAACAACATCTGACAATGTTCTGCTGCTATTGATAGGTTTTCAGTATCTAAACATTCAGAAGTAGTCCACCTCTCCTTCCTCCTGGTCTGTCTTCATCTGGAAGCTCTGCTGAAACCTGTCCACCATGGGTCACCCTGTTGGTATTTGGTTTCACAATCAACACTCATGGAAGTAGCCGTCAAGAAATCAAACAATGTATTGTATTAGGCAAATCTGCTGCAAAAGACCTTTTTAAAGTTTGCAAGAGCAAAAATATCAGCTTGAGGACTAAATTATGGCTGACCCAAGCCATGGTATTTTCAATATCCTCAAATGCATTGAAAATTGGACAGTGAATAAGTAAGACCATAGAAGAATTGATGCATTTCAGTTGTGGAGAAAGTTGAAAGTATGATGGGCTACGAAAAGAACCAACAGATCCGTATAGGAAGAAGTGCAGCCAGAGTGCTTCTTAGAAGCCAAGACGGTGAGACTTCATATCTCATACTTTGGATGTGTTGTTAGGAGGGACCAGTCCCTGGAGATGGACATCAAGCTTGGTGGAGTAGAGGATCAGCGAAAAGGAGGAAGACCTGATGATGGATTGACACAGCAGCAGTAGCAGCAGTGGACTGAAAAACAACAATAACTGTAAGGATGCTTCTGTTGTGCATAGGGACGCTATGAATCTTAATTAACTCAAGGGTCCCTAAGAACCAACTCAATGACACTAACAATGATAGCCTCCAGCTTGGCCCATTTTTTATATTCCAACTTCCATTTTGTCAAAAAACTAGAAAATACAAAACCTAGTTTTGGATGGGGAGTTATCACAAAAATGTCCACCCTTGGTTGATTTAACATGCAACTGAACTAGCAAACAAAGTGTCTCCCCTGTCCTATACCAGCCTGGCTCCCTTTTCTTTACCCCACAGGGACCTGAGGGTGGCTCAGGAACACCTGGCAGTCTAACCCCCACAACCCCTGCCCTTCCTAGTGAGGGTTTCTCTGCAGCTGCACAGTCTGCAGGCATTAATGAGCACTCACCCCCAGCTGTTTCCACACCTTCCAGAGCTTTAGGGCCAGGGCAGCGTCTTATTTCCTTACCAATGAAATGACAATAACAATACCTACTCATAAGGAGGGGTTGGTGTGGTACTGGAGGATAAGCACTGGACTGCTAGTTGCAATGTCAGCAGTTCAAGCTCACCTACCTCTCTTCAGAAACCCTATACAGGGTTACTGTGAGTCAGAACCAAATTAACGGCACCATCATCAACAACATACGGATGTGTTGTAATTGCTGTTGTGTGCAGTCAAGTTGGGTTGGACTCATAATGACCCTGTATAAGGGTTCCAAGAGTAGCTGGTGAGTTTGAACTGCCAACCTTGTGTAGAGTGCTACATCAGTGCTCTCAAAAGAAATGCTGTTTTTGTTGTTAGGTGCCATTAAGTCACTTAAGGTCATTCATAGTGACCCTGTAAAGGGTTTCCAAGAAGTGGCTAGGAGGTTTGAACCGCTGCCATTACAGCTCAAACTGATCTTGCTGTCAAGCGCATTTTCCTGCAGCACCACATTATGTAGTAAGGACTAAATACACTCGTGACTTACTATTGGTATGTATGTGTATGTTCTTCCAAGCTTCAGCTGAGTTTTACAAGATCACACACTGTAAGTCTTTTGTTTGTGTAAAGCTTCTAGGAAGCAGGAATCACTAGAAGCTCTATAAAAACCTGAGGCAAAGTTCTAAACATTTTAAAAATAGATATTTTTAAAACCTCAGTGTTACAAACTTTATAATATTTACTATCAAATCTCCAAAATGTACCCTTAGGTCCTGATTCTTTGAGGTTAAGCAAACTTATTGCAAAGGCAATAATAATCTTTTCTAAGTACATTAAAATAGCATCCTTTTTAAGGCAATAAAACATTTTTTTAATCACTAAGCTATTCCTTGTCTCTGAAGAGAGTTCACAGCAAAGATATTAAATTGCCACCAAGGGTTAGATATTTGACATTCAAGAAGTTAGATTGATGATGATCACTATTTTCAATATTATTGTGCATTTACTGAGCATTTTCCCTCAAAGGGCCAAATGCATTTAACAGAACCTAAAAGCCAGTCACAAATCACCAAGGTGAGGCAGGCTGAGACCTAAACTATCTTTATTCTTCCTTTGAAGAAACAAAACCCCCTAAGCTGAAGTCCAAAGGAGTTTTTCTTCATATAATTAAGCTAGCTTTGGAGAAGTACTCACAGGATCCAAAGCAGCAATACAAGAACCTGGAACTGCACTTTCAAAAGCTGTAAGACAAACCCTGCTAAAGAGAATGGCCCAGCTGAGAATGGTCAGTCCACACTGTTCAAATATACTTAGACAAGGCTCTAAAAGCTAAGAGCACAGCTTCTTTAGGGTAGAGTCCCCTTCAGAGGGTTGTTGAAGTCCACTCCTACAAATGTGGAGGGCCTGTCCCTAAATATAGTGGTAGACTGAAAAGAGTCAGGAGACATGAATTCTTATCTTGGTTTTGCCAAGGGCTAGTTGTATGAGTTTGGACAAGCCACTTAAGCCTTTAGTTTCATCATCTGTAAATATACATGACAGGACTGAATCTCTAAGGTCTCTTTCATCTTATGAGTCTGTTTCTAAGGTGACAGTAAAGTATGTAAACCAAACATGCAAAGGAAATTAAAATTCCCATTTTATAAAAGGTAATTTTTCTAATATTTACCTTACAGACTGGCATTTAAATTTAAGAAGGAAGGTCAAAAAGTATTGCTACAAAATCATGGAGATCTACAGTAAATAAAAACGTGACAAAGGGAAGCTACTGTTTCTTGGCATAACCTCTATCTATATACTTCTGAAGGCAGTGTTTCAATCTCTGACTATTCGTCAAACAATTCTGAGCTCATTGATTTATATCATGTCAACATGGCAATTTGAACACCCTAGAGGGACTCGCATCATATTCTTTTTAAATATTCTTTGAGTTTGAGGCTCTAAAATAAGTCTAAATGGGCAAGATCAGGATTGTAGGGTGAATGGGGTAAAGTTTCCCAATCAAATTCTCGTAAGCCAGCCCTTACTACCCTCAAAGAATGAGTAGGTGCATTATAGTGATTCAACTAAAATTCCCCAGTACAACTTTCCTGGCCTTTTTCTAACTAATGCTGTTTCCAATTTTCTTAAAATTTGCTCATAATAAGCCCCATTGATCATTCTGTGCTTTAAGAAATTCTGTCATGATTACTCCTTTTAGAATTTCAGAAAAACAATTGTGATATCCTTCTAAGCTTGCTTCTCTGTCTGGAATTTAACAGGCCCTGCAGATCCTGCTCAGAATCCACTATTTTCATTGGACCATTTTTTGTTTTTTATTGAAGGTACCCTACTAAGACTGAGACAAGTGTATTACCAAGAGAACTTGTCTGCACCCATCCACTGATTGCAATTTGTTAGGAATAAACTCCTGCATTTATGAATTGGATCCATAGTAGCAATACTTTTTGACTTACCCCTGTATAGTTACTAGTGTCATAAAAAGAAACCCTGATAGCACAGTGGTTAAGCACTTGAATTAACTGAAACATTGGCAGTTCAAACTGACCCAGAGGTTCCACAGGAAAAAGACCCTGGACATCGGTTATTATAAAGCTCTTTGTTGCTGTTGTTAGGTGCCATCAGGTTGGCTTCAACTCATAGTGACCCTATGCACAGCTGAAGGAAGCACTTCATTCATTGCCTGGTCCTGCACCATCCTCAAAGTTGTTATGTTTGTGCCCATTGTTGCAGTCTTTGTGACAATCTAGCTCATTGAGAGTCTTCCTCTTTTTTGTTGACCCTCTTCTTTATCAAGCATGATTTTCTTTCCCAGGGACTGGTCCTGCCTGATAACATTTCCAAAATACATGAGACGAAATCTCCCCATCCTCACTTCTCAGGGGCAGTCTGACCGCACTTCTTCCAAGACAGATTTGCTTGGTCTTCTACCAATCCTTGGTACTCTGAACATTTATCACCAGCACCGTAATTCATAAAGATTATTGTAGTTGTTAAGTGCCATCAAGTCAGTTCCGACTCAGAGTGACCTTGTACGGGGTTTCTGAAGAGCGACTGATGGTTTTGAACCACCGACCTTGTGGTTAGTGGTCCAGTGCTTATCCTACCTACAGTACCACACCAGAACTCATAAAGATTGTTGTTGTTGTTGTTGTTAAGTGCTGTCGAGTCTGTTTGACCCATAGAGACCCTGTATAGGGTTTCTGAGGAGCAGCTGGTGAGTCTGAACTGCCAATCTTGCAGTTCAAACGGCTTTGCAATGTGGCGCATTAACCCACAGTGCCACATTACAGCCAATAAAACCCTAAGCAGCAGTTCTACTCTGTCACCATGAGTTGAAAATCAACTTAATGGCCCCTAATCACAACAACTGGTGTGTTGCTGTAGGATAAGCACTGGGTTGCGAACCACAAGGTCAGCAGTTCAAATTCACCAGCTGCTCCTTGGAAATTCTATACAGAGTCTCTATGAGTTAGAAACACTTTACAACAACAACCACTACAAGATAGATTTTCTCTTACTGCCTTCAATTCTTAAATGTAACAGTCTGATCCTTGGCTGCTAGGTAGAATGATCCACATGCAGTATTAATTCAAGGAAAAAATAAAAACAAAACAAAACAAACTAACATAACCTTTCTTTTCTCTCCTGTGATGTTTGCTTGTAAGTCCCAAGCTAATGAGAGCACGTAACAATAGCAGAGCCATGAAGGGAGTAATTCAAGACATCACTTCACAAGGCGAATTACAGATAAACTAAACAGTATTCCATTATAACATAGGCATCACATCTATACGGAAAAGAAAAGAGAGATTGCTTACTGGTGAGTCAATGTCCTCTAGGAGTAAAACAGAACAGCGTTCACATTTCAGCAGAGTCTGGGCCCGATGCATTATTTTCTTGACAATTTTCTCCAAGTCAGTTTGTTCTTCAAAGAGGTCATTAACCACCTCTAGTAAAGCCTAGAAAAGATAAAATGGAGCTATTTAGGTGAGCATGTTGTTGTCACTGTTGTTAGGTGAAGTCGAGTTGGTTCCCACTCATAGTTACCCTACACACAATGAAGGAAACACTGCACAGTCCTGCGCCACTCTCACAATCGATGCTGTTGTTAACATTTGGGTGGGGATGGGGATGGTGGTGACTGTGTGCTACCAAGTCTGTTCCAATTCACAGTGACCCTCCATAGGGTTTGCAAGGTGGTAAATCTTTATGGGAAGAAAATTTCTCATCTTTCTCCTGCAGAGCAACTGGTTGATTGGAACTACTGCCCTTGTGGTTAGCAACCCAGCTCATAATCCTCTGTGCTAACAGGGCTCCTTTAGGTGACTATAGGACTGGGGGAAAAAAGTTGTTGGGTTTGTTTTGGGTTTTGCCTTTGTTTTTCTTTTTCTTAAAAAAATTCCATTTAGCCTTTCTCACTCAAAGACACTGCCATCGAGTCAATTCTTACTCATC